ATGGATACGGGGCGGGCGGCGCAGCGGGCATCAGCAGCAGCGAGCAGTAGCAGCAGGCAGTAACAACGGGCAGTACCAGCGCCAGACAGCATAGGAGGAAGGTGGCGGCTGCAGCGGGCAGGAGGTGTGCAACAGAGAAGCTGTTTGGAGAGAGCGTCGAGCTCTTATCGTGCCTTACCTGTCAGTCGCTGTCCGACCCACCAGAATGAGGGGTTGGAAACGCGTTGAAAACGTATTGTAAACGGTCTCAACCAGGCAACTTCGACCCTTGGCCCAGAAAAGCGGAAGCATTGAGGATGTCGCCGCCACAGCTTAGGCCGCGGTTACGACGCCGACGCCGCCGATATGACACCGACGATGTCTCCGGCTCTGACGCGCACGGGATCGGACAGCGATTGACAGGCAACGCACGATAAGAGCTCAGAGAAGCATTTTGGAGAGAGCGTGTCGAGCTCTTATCGTGCGTTGTCTCTCAGTACTAGATACAACATAGCACGTTGCGAGGCATACCTGGAAACGATGAAAAAAACGGAGCTGGAAACTATGAAGACGATCCCTTGGATTGACGTTGGGGACGATCAAAAAAAACGCATCGCCGCGGAGACCTGGAAACGACAGAAATACGGGACCCAGAAACTATTAAGAAACGTGCTTTTAAATGAAAGTTGGCAACTATTCTAAAAACGCCCAGGGCGTTTCCGAGACACACTAAGTGCACGATCATTCCATCAAGCTTACGGTTGCGAGCCATGGAGTTCGAACACAAACAGCATCGAATAATGTCCTGCCTTTCGTTTTCAGGTACAGTCAGCAAGGCGTTCGCCGAGTTGTTTTAGACAGATGCAGTCAATGCATAGCATATTCATTGACCCCAATGGCGGCATGGAGCGGCAGATGTGTAAAGCTGTCGTTATTTCTCCATGTGCCATGTGCCTTGCTTGAGGTACCGTTCGCCCGTGTCCAGTAGCAGATGCCACATGCAAGCAGAAACGTAGTACCCATTTCGTTGGCATGTGTTGCGGTGCTTTTTAGTCAGCCTTTGGCCCAGTGTGTGTTTCCATCCGTCGGGATACCCCGAGTGCATACCCTGCCTTGCCTTGAGGCCATCAGTCTCTCATCCGCGTTGGCCCCCCTCCTCACCCATCTCCACCTTGTCGCTCCTCTCGCCACCTGGTCTATGCTCAGTCGCTGCCCTGCTCAGCGTCGGACGCAGCATTCTCGTCATCATCCGCATCCGAGCCTGCTACTGTGGGGCCGTTGGTTAAGGAGTGTGCCCATAAGCCTTCAGACCCTGGACAATTCCTTATCGGATGAGGGTGGCGATGGTGTCCATGGCCAGTCCACGATTGGAGTTACCCCGGCTTCCAGACCCTAGATTCCTTATCCAAGGGTTCCTTATCCAATGCCCCCACCGTATTCCATACCCACAAAACGCGTCTCCCTCTCGCCGCTGCCTTCGGCTTCACCTTCGCGGCTTCGTCCTGCGGCGTTGCTTCAGTCGGCGACGTGTCCTCGCCGACCTTCCCCCAATTGTGAGTTCGGTCCATGCTGCCTTGCTCTAGATGTGTACCCCTCGGCTCCTCAAGCTCCCCCCCCTCCCCCTCCCCTCCTTGTCGATCGATTCGTCCACGATCGAGATGTTGGGGGCACGAAGCCTGTTCGAGACCCCTCCAACTGGGAGATCGAGTTTCTTGTTTGCGTTTGCGTCGTGCGTGACGTGCCGTGCGTTCGAAGCGGCGCGCGCAATGTCAGGGTGCCGTGGGCGTGGGTAATATCTGATGTTGTGTTCTTCTAATGTTTCGTAGAGTCGTGTCATCATGCTGCCATTTTGTCGTGGAGCCGTGGAGCCGTGGTGTTAGGGTGTTGTGCTGTCGTGGTGTCATGGCGCTGTGGCGTGACTTCAGCGTCGTGCCAAGAAAGAACTAACAAGTGGCACATTGTGAACCATTTGTGATGCGATCGAGGTCAAATAGTGGATGAGTTGCGACGCGTGGTTAGTGGAAATGGTTGACGGATGGATGCATGAATGGGCGGAAGATGGATTGCTCGCAGACTTGCGAGTCTACCTTCGAAGTACACCTTTTCGACCACAGGCTGGTCCTGCTGATAAGCTTAGAACACGACTGTGCTGATTATTTTCTCTCACTGCCAGAGATGGTGGCTCTGACATTGCATGAGTTTGATCCTTCTTATCCTCATCCTCCTCCTCCTCCTGACTCCTCTTCCTCTCGCCTCGCGGCCGCCCTCTTTCTGTGCAGCCGCCGCCGAAGCCCAGAGCAGGGGGGGAGGGAAAAGGGAAGGAGGCGAGGAGAGCAAGACGAGGGAGAGGAGGGAGGGGGCGTGAAGGAAGGAGGAGGAGGAGGAGGAGGAAGGAGGAAGGAGGAAGGAGGAAGGAGGAAGGAGGAAGGAGGAAGGAGGAGGAGGAGGAGGAGGAGGAGGAGGAGGAGGAGGGGTGGACAGATGTCGGGGATCTGGTGCTTCGCCCGCGTTCAATGGCTAGGCTCCGAGCCCTTGGCGGACCCGCTGACGCTCTTGAGATCGCGTGGGCTCAGCCTCTCCGAACACCCCTTGGCGCGAAGCGGGTCGCCAGTGCAACCAGCGTGTCCTCGCCCTCCTCCCCCCGTTTACCCTTCTCATTCCTCCACTCCGCCCCTCCCGCTCATGCGCCAGCCTGCTGCCTTTACTTTCACTTGCTCCTGCCAGACTGGTGTCCACAGAGGAGATAGCCCAGGAATCCGTTGAAAAGTATCACGCACCGGCGCTGTCCAGTCCGTTCAGCACACACACACATCGGGAATGTTCTCTGGGAGAGTGTTGCGAATGGACGATCGCGACGGGCCTGAATCGTCACTTGCGTTTGTCTTGGCATTTCACTTTGCGTCTGCATCAGTATGACCAGGTATGCTTAGGACCTGCAGCAACTGGCATGCAGGTCAGTTCGCCACCGCGTGGTATATGTAACTAGTTGGGGAAATGGCGTCTGCGGGCATACCGGTGCACAGGACGCCAGGCGATCATCTTTGGTGGGGGATTGGTTGACCTTGCGATAGATCTCGGATCGGATGGTCTCGAGGCCTGGGGTGGCCAAGTGCCTGCGGATTTCACAACGCACGAAAGGGGCATCAGCAGTCGCTGGAGATGCACCAGAATGCCGTCGACTGGGATCAAGCAAAAATAATGATGGATGGACGGGGAGAAGAATGAGGGCCAGAGTGAACCCAATATGCATCAGCGATGCTGCAACACACCCTGGCGTACCACGCCCCCTCCCCAAAAAGCCATACGGCAACTTCCCTGTACTGAAGCGCCCCATTGAAAGGCCAGCGCCCGTTGGGCCTGCCTCTCAGGCGAGATCCCCGTTTGGGGAAGCAGTGGCCTCCTTGCCTTTTTTATCGGCGCGCGTCCAGGAATGCGAAAAGGTATGTTCTCATACACCTCGGCGAGGTGTCCAGCGGGATCCCAGTTGTGAGGAACTCCTCCTCCTCCTCCTCTTCCTCCTCCTCCTCCTCCTCCTCCTCCCTCCTCCCTCCTCCCTCCTCCCTCCCCCTCCTCCACCGCCCTCTCCTCCTCCTCCTCCCTCCTCTCTTCCTTCTCTCCCTCCTCCCTCCTCCTCCTCCTCCTCATCTTCCTCCTCTTCCTCCTCTTCCTCCTCCTCCTGCCCTCCTCCTCCTCCTGCTGCTGCTGCTGCTGCTGCTCCTCCTCCTCCCTCCTCCTCCTCTCCCTCCTCCCTCCTCCACCTCCCTCCTCCTCCCCCTCCCTCCTCCCTCCTCCCTCCCCCTCCTCCACCGCCTCCTCCTCCTCCTCCTCCTCCTCCTCCTCCTTGGGTCGCCTACGGCCCCGGGGGAAACCGTGCACCGCAACTGCTGCACGCCTACACTTCTGGGCCTGAACCTCCGAGGAAGTATCCAGCGAGAGCCGTCCTCCGTCCGTGCAGCCGCTTCCGGTGTTCCGTGCCGGTCCGCGTCTCTGTCTTCTTACTGTGCACAGGTCTCGAGCGAGAGCCCCCTCCGTTGTCGAGAAGAAGCGGTCCCCCCGTCTCCATAACTCTTGCAAGCGCTCGAGACGAGTGTGTGCGTCGCGGAGGCAAGAACCCCCACGGTGAAAAGCAGCCGTCCTCCATCCGTGTAGCTGCCGCAAGCGGCTGGGACGAATGTGCACGGCGCCAAGGCCAGAGCCCCATTTTGACCAGGAAGCGCGCCACCACGTGTGCGAGGCCAGGGCGAAAACTCGATCCTGAGAACGACATGTGTTCCATCCTCGCACTTTTTGCAGAACTCTGGGATGTATGTGCGCGGCGCTAAGGCCAGAGCCCCATGTTGGCCGCCCCTTCCATGTGTGCAACTGTTGTGGATGTAAGGGATGTCAGGCTTCAGGGGCATGAGCGATGGGGAAGTCTCAGGCGGAACGCCCCCAGCCTGCCTTACCGACACGTTTGGAGGTGCGACGGTGAGGAGCTATCGAGAACGAACAGGGAGCAGAGGATGAGAAGGAGGAGTTTGATCAGGAGGAGGGAGCAAAGGAGGAGGCGGAGGTGGAGGAGGAGGAGGAGGAGGAGGATGTGGAGGAGGAGGAGGAGGGAGGAGGAGAGGGGAGGAGGAGGAGGGAGGAGTAGGAGGAGGAGGAGGGAGGAGGAGGAGGAGGAGAGGAGGAGAGGAGGAGGAGGAGTGAGGAGGAGGGGGAGGAGGAGGAGGAGGAGGAGGAGGGAGGAGGACGGAGGAGGAGGAGGAGGAGGAGGAGGCGAAGGAGGACGAGGGAGGGGGCGGTGGGGAGGAGGAGGAGAGGAGGAGGAGGAGGAGGAGGAGGAGCGAGGAGGAGGAGGAGGAGCTAGGGAAGGTGGAGGAGGAGGGGGCACGGCGCGGCAGCCTATACCTGGCCCATCATCGCTGCTCCACCTCTAGGGGGAGGGCGCGGCAGGATGCAATTATGACGGAACGCGGCAGAACGAAGGCAGGAAGGGGGGAAGGGAGGAAGGGAAGAGGATTAGGAGGAGGAGGAGGAGGAGGAGGAGGACGAGGAGGAGGACAAGGAGGAGGAGGAAGGAGGAGGAGAACACACATTGAAAAGAGAGAAAGGAGGGCGGAGGAAGGAGGGATGGGGGGAAGGCGGAGGAGCAGGAGGCACGAGGGGGGAAGGGAGGAGGGGAGGAGTG